CCTTAAGCACTTATTTAGTTCTAGTTGTTTATTATAATATTCAAAATGTATTCAGTAGTTTATCAAAATCCCTATTGTCCGTCTACTCATTTGTTCTTTCTCCCTATCCAATGATAATAACACTTGTGTTATTTCTTCTATGAAAGGACTTTTGCTTAAACCATCCCTTTTTCTAAGTCCATCAAGTTAAGGACACAGCCCTCATTGGAAAGAGTGCACTAGTTGATCAGGTCACTGCACTTCCTTCCAATTCCTCCTGTGTTTCCGAAGCTTTATGAGGGAATCTTAAAATATCAATATTTACAAATACAATTAAGTTTCACAATTTCATTTTTCTTATTATATTGAATTATGGATCTGCAACCATTTTAGTGCACAGTGCGTCCACTGCACCAAAACAGAATTCAATCCAAGGAACCTCTCCCTTGTTGGTTATGGCCAATCCCAACATCAAGAGGGGATTAGAAAACTGCAGAATCTTAATTCTTTTATATTTGAATTTTAAGTCCTTTATGCTAGCTCAAAAGCAGAAGGAAAATTGTGTTAGACAATATGGAAGCCCTATGTTCGCAATTACTTGCTAAGGCCCTAACTTTTGCTTTGATACCATCTTTCTCATGATCCGTTTTCTAATGCCGGTTCGGCCCTAGGTAACGAGTTGTGACAAAGATGGTTAGTTGGATTTTCAGACCATCGTGCATGGCGGTCTAGTGACCGGCCGTCGACGCTCCGACTAGGCTCCAAAAGGCAGAATCTTCTCCTTTTCACGTTGATTCTGAATATGTAATCCAATTTTGTATTCGTAAACCTTATAACCCAATTCTGCATTTTTCCTTTAGAAATCAATTTAAATTTATTTCCTTATTTTACAATTATTTGATGAGATTAAGTAAAAGTCGTGATTAGTTAGAAAATTGTTTAACTTGGTTAATCCAAGTCAGAAATTTACGAACCTAGATTGCTATGGGGTAAGAATATCATGTTTGGTACCTTAAGTGCTAGTAAGAGATTAATGGGAAGCTAGTATTTTAATAGAAATTGTTAATTAGATATATATTATCATGGTATGAACTGAATTCGTGAAAATACATTTGCTTTGAGTTGGGATTAATTACTGGTGTGGATAAATTGATTTAAATTGATTTAATGATGACATAACGGAGGATGGGCTTTGATTAAGAATTTGCCCGATGGATGGGCTATGTGTTGATATGTGCGATATATAAAATTTGGATAGTCCAATTTATAGAGGAAATGCTGCTGGATTTTTGGCAAAACACTTATTAAAGAACAAAATTAGTTATATTCTTAATAGGTCGTAACGACTAAAAATTTTAGTATTACTATTTCCATTATTATTATTATTATTATTATTATTATTATAAAACATTACTTACCAAATAACTAGAAGCTTTATTATTAAATTGATTTAATGAATGACATAACGAGGATGGCTTTTGAGATTCAAAAGAATTTGCACCCGATGGAGATAGGGCTATGTGTTAGATATGTGGACGATATATACAAATTTGGATAGTCCAATTTTTAGAGGAAAATGCTGCACAGGAGTTATTTGGCAAAACACTATTTAAGAACAAAATTAGTTAATATTCTTAAATAGGTCCGTAAACGACTAAATTTTAGTAATTAACCTATTTTCCATTATATATTATATATTATTATTATTATTATTTATAAAACATTACCTTCTTACAAATAACTAGAAGCTTTATTAAAAGTATAATTAAGGATATAATAAATAAAGGAACTTGTTATATATATTAATATATAATGTGTGTGTTGTTGGGTGGTGTGTGTGTTGTGTGTGTGGTGTGGTGGTTTAAGTTCAAATAAGTTTTTGAAGCTAAAGCAATAGTAACAAAATTAATAAATGAATACGAGCTCGAGAATTATACTCTTATTTAGAATTTTCTTTTTTTTTCAGAGATGTTCTAGAAGCTTTATTAAAAGTTATAAATTAAAGTAAATAAATAAATAAAGGAACTGTATATATATATATATATATGTGTGTGTGTGTGTGTGTGTGTGTGTGTGTGTGTGTGTGGTGTTTAGTTCAATAAGTTAAGCTAAGCGACTAGTAACCAAAATTAATAAATGAATACGAGCTCGAATTATAACTCTTATTTAGAATTTTCTTTTTTTTTTTAGATGTTTATAAAGTTCCAAAATGTCAAGACAAAAGTTGGAAGAGTGCAATAATAAAGATAGTCCTTTTAAGGACAATGAAGAACAGTGAGTAGTGTTGGATAATTCGTATCATCCACCTGCATTTGCATCCATGCATATACGGCTAAATGCTAGACATTTACTTAGTAAATTGTTAATTTGTGTTGCATTATTTGTTGCTATTGAATATGGTTTGATTAGTTGTGATGTACTTCATGAATGCTTTGCTTGTGTGGAATTGGGATGAAATGGGTCACCACAGGTTTGTGAGGGCAGATCGGTGCCCCCGTGTGCATCTGATGAAATATGATATGGAAAACCGCAAGGTGGCCTCCTGTTGGTATGGAAAAGAAAAGAGAGTAGAAAAAATGAGAGGGCTGGTCAAGTGAGGTTGAGACCGGTCGGTCATGTATGGGAGATCAACTCCCTGGTGCACACATGATGAGAGGGCAGGCCATGTGTGGGACGGCTCGTCGGGGGGTTTTGGTGACATCACTGATCAATTTCCACTTGATGTGATTATGTGAAGGTCTTAATATTTGTAATTGTTGTTGTTCTGTCATTTGTGTGAATGATTGCATGATTATATAACTAGTCGGATGACTAGATTTATTTATATACGCATTTGTGTGACTGTGTGGGGGTGAGAGGGTTATCTAACCCTATTCATTGAGTTTAGGCACTCACTCTTGCCTTAATATTTTTTTTAGGTTACAAGTCTTCTAATATCTCGTTGTCCTCTGTCATCAAATGTCCAGAAGATACCTCGATAAATATTTTGAAAATTCAAGTTCTTAGATTGTTCTGCAATTACGATAGTCATATATAATTAATTTAGAAATTATTGATGTATTACTTATCCTATTATGTAAATATTAATATGGGCCTAAAGAACTTTGGAAATTGAATTACTATTGAATATGATGATACGAGCCAAATGAGCCCAAGACTTATGATATTTGACTGGTGATAATATTGGCCTGAGGCCATTTCTATTCAACAGAAAATCTATTCGGTATATTTTTGGCTTACTACGGGCCTCGGTGGCTTTAAGCCTACCAAGGTCATAGTGCCGATCCGGCCCTAGGTAACTGGTCGTGACATTTAGTCGGTAATATTTTGTCTATATTTAGTCGTTATTGTATTAGTAATTTAGTCAGTACTTTGTCAGAAAATAGTTCTTAGGTATAATTGAAAATTTTACCCTTTAAAATGATAATTAAAACCTATAAAAATCCTTTATTTACACATGTTTTATAAAGCATGCAAAGGTAGAATTTCACACTTTCAGTTTAAAAAGCTAATTAAAACCCATGATAACATTTATTTGTATTTCAAAAAAGTCATTCCATATATCACAAACATGCACTATAATAGCTTTATACATTAATATCCATAATAATATTGTAATGTCATAATATTATATACTCCATAGGCCTTGCCTTGCTTGCCAACAAACAACCTACATGCATGAAAGAGCATGGTGTTATCGAGTTATTCTTTTGAAACAAAGTCTAGCTACTACTTATTCTTTTTCCACTTAAGATGTGACCTACAAATGCACTCATCTGCATGCATGGATGAGTTCTTGAAGGAAGAACCTGAATTGTTCGAAGAAAAAAGTAAGGTAATATCTAGATGTCGTATCTTAGACTCCCGGAAAGAAGTTAGATCCCACTTGTTCGCACAAACACAACTGTAGACTCAAAACGTACCATATAAAGACAATTGCATCCATCTTCCCACAAAACACATTAAAGGTCTAAAATACAAACCATAAAATGGCTCAATAATAATTTTCCAATGAAAGATTCAAACATGGAATTCACGTAGCCAAGGTCCTGAAATTTGCAAGCCAATTGCCATTTTCCTAAGTTGTAGATTGTGCATGCAGGTTGCAAAAGGCTGCATTAAAAAGGATTTCCAAGTTACCCTAGCAAATCCAAATGAAAGTTTATCCATCTAACATCATTATTGACGGTGAAAAAATAATAGATAAAGCGAGGCTTAAGGAATTTAGGAAAGAGAGGAAGGCACTGATAAATTAGACATTAACCAACAAGACTGCCACCTGAAATAGAAAGAAAGCACAAGAATTTCTTAAGAAAATGACTCGAAGATAATGGGGGTAGATAGCAAACGAATTTGAAGATGATAGTAGTGGCAAAATTTCTTTGACTAAGATCCAGGATTCAGATCTAGAGCAGCAATTATTTGGCTGTATAATTTTACAATTAGAGTTAATGATTATGTGCAAAAACTGCTCAAAGCAGAAATTTGATGTGAAATGATAGATTAACACCAACTATGCATGTTTATGTTAGACTTGTTGAGATTTATCTTGGAAATCTAATAATTATCTTTTGATATATTGCTTGTAGTTTTGGGTTTACTTCAATATTAGTTTAATCAGTTGTTAACTTGTTTTAGATGGTAAATCATTGCTTGTAAGTTTAGTCTTGTAAGAGTATGGTTGTATTGGGAGTTGGTAAAACTCAATCATGTAATTTTGTATTATTCAGCTATTATATAAAGTTGAATTCTAAATGAAATATGCAGAGATTTCTCATCTCATCTTTTTAAAAAATTATATCTCGATTTCTTATTGCTTGCTCTGCCATTGTCTTCCACAATTAATATCAGAGCATTCAATCCTTTGAGGAGCTATGAGAGTCTAATAAAGTGAGAGAAAACAAGTAAGAAAACCTCACCAAAAGACCTTAAACACCTCAAATTTCCTTTAATGGCTTTTACCATCAGCTCAATTACCACTTGTATTTTCAGGTGAGAATTACCTAATTTAGGATGTAAAAATGAAGGCTTATACTAAGGCATATGATCTTTGGGAAGTTGTTGAGATGGGTAGAGATCCTCCTCCTTTACCCAATAATCCAACACTTGCTCAAATGAACAATCATAGCGAAGAACTTGTAAAAAAATGCAAGGCTCTCTCTTGTATTCATTCGAGTACTTCAAAAACCATCTTTGCAAGAATCATGGTTTGTGATACAACCAAGGAAGCATGGGTTAAGATCAAAGAAGAGTTTCAAGGAAGTGATAGGACTAGGCAAATGCAAGTCCTAAACTTGAGAAGAGAGTTTGAGATTTTAAGAATGGAAGAATCTGAAACTGTCAAAGAGTATACTGACAGACTTATGAACGTTGTAAATCAAATTCAATTGCTTGGAGAAGACCTCATCGACAATAAAATTATTGAAAAAGTTCTTGTGAGTCTACCCAAGAGGTTTGAAGCTAAAATCTCCTCTATTGAAGGCTCCAAGGACCTCATTCAACTCACCATTTTAGAACTTGTTAACATTTTTCAAGCTTTGGAGCAAAGAAGAGCTATTAGACAAGAAGATGCCATTGAAGGTGCTTTTTATGCCAAATATAAAAACAAAGGGCAAGCTTCTACAAGTAATGAAGGACAGAATTTTCATGATAAAAGGGATCAAAATAGAAGAGAAGGTGACAACAAAGAAAATGAAAAAAGAGGCAGATTTCTACCTTGTTCAACTTGCCAAAAAAACAACTCGCTTGGAGAAAAAATTGTTAGAAGAAGGCCAAGTGCAGTAATTATAGCAAAATTGGGCATATCGATAAATATTGTAGAAAAAAATGGCATCAACAACACAACCAGCATTCAAAATTTGTAGAAGATGGAAAAGAGCATGAAGAACACTTCTTTATGGCTTCTCACACTTAAAGCTCATATTCAACCGATACTTGGTTTCTTCATACCGGTGCTACCAATCATATGGCTAAAGATGCAAACTTATTTAGCACTTTGGACAAATCTTTCAAAATTAAAATAAAGCGAGCAAATGGTGACCTAGTTGAAACTCAAGGGAAAGGTTCTGTTGCTTTCCACACCAACAAAGGTACTAAGCTTCTTGCTGATGTGTTTTTCATTCCTAGCTTAGATCAGAATCTGTTGAGTGTTGCTCAAATGTTGAACAAGAATTATGCTTTGCTCTTTAGAAACAAAATATGCAACATTTATGATCCTGATGATGTTGAAATTGCAAAAGTTAATATGATAGGCAATAGTTTTCCTTGGGATTCAATTTCAAAATGTTCTTATAATGTGAAAACTAATTATACTTGGACTTGGCATAAGAGATTTGGTCATTATAACCTCAAGTCTGTTAAATTTCTGCAATCTAAGGAAATGATAAGAGACATTCTTGAAGTTAACTTGAGAAGTGAGGTGTGTGGTGCTTGTTAACTAGGGAAGATGCATAGAGATTCTTTTCCTAAAAATCACTCTCAGAGAGCAAATGAAAAATTAGAGCTGATTCATATTGATGTTTGTGACCTTATGAGTGTTCCCTCACTCAATCAAAAAATAATATTTTATTTTGTTCATTGATGATTTTTACAAAGAATGTGCTCGGTTTATTTTCTCAATAACAAATCAAAAGTTCTTTCTAATTTTGAGAAGTTTAAAGCTCTTGTAGAAACTCAAAGTGGCTATAAAATCAAAACTTTGAGATCTGACAGCGTGAAGGAGTATACTTCACAAGAATTTGATAAATTTTATGAAGAATTAGGCATGCAATCACCAACTTACAGTGAGTTACACTCCATAACAGAATGGGGTGAGTGAAAGAAGAAACAGAACCGTAGTTGAAATGGCAAGATGCATGTTGTTTGAGAAAAAATTACCAAAGAATTTTTGGTTTAAAGCTACTTATACAGCTATTTATTTTTTAATAAACTTCCTACAAGGTCTGGTAAAGATAAAACTCCAATTGGAGCATGGAGCGGTTCAAAACCTTCAGCAAATCATCTAAAGGTGTTTGGTTCCCTTCGTTATGTGCTTGTACAAGCTACAAAAAGAAGCAAGATAGATAAAAAAAAAAAAAAAAATCTCCAATTGGAGCATGGGAGCGGTTCAAAACCTTCAGCAAATCATAATAAAAGGTTGTTTGGTTCCCTTCGTTATGTGCTTGTACAGAACAGCTACAAAAAGAAGCAAGATAGATAAAAAAAAAAAGATAGATAAAAAAAAAAAAAAAAAGCTGAAATTTGCATTTTTCTTGGATATGCTATTCAATCCAAAGGCTACAGAATTTTTAATGTTCAAACTAAGAAAATGATGGTTTGTAGAGATATCAAGCCTGATGAAGATGCTTTGTGGAATCTATTGGCTCAAGGGTCAATTTTATCTTGAGATTTTGATGACTAAGCAAAATAAATAAATTTAATTATTTGTGCTAATATTATTTTATGCAGATTTATTTATGTTTAAATATAGAAAATAATAAACAAGGGCAAATTCCTATAAAACTAAGGATAATTGAAGATCATGAAGACCATTGAAGATTTTAGTGGTTAGCATTTTAGGATTTTTGTAGGATAGAGAGAATATTCATTTATAAGTACAAAAACATTTCCTCTCTCTTCCTCAAAAATATTTTTCTAAAAAATATCCTTGAAAAGTCAAAAATCTCGATTTTAAATTCACTTACCTAAATGAAAGAGATTTTGTCTCAATCATTTTTGGTAACAAATTTTTGAAAAAGATTTATTCATTTTCAGAAACTATCTCTATAAAAATCTTGCTTTTATTTGATTAACTAAATGAAAGAGATTTTGTCTCAATCATTTTTAGTAATAAAATATTTCAAAAAAGATTTTTATCTTCGAAAACTATTTTTAAGGAAAGTCTAAAATCTTACTCTTATTCGCTTACCTTAAAAGAAAATATTTTGACTCAAAGAATTTTTGGCAACAAGCCTTAAAGAGAAAATATTTTACTCAAAAATTTTTGGCAAACAAGATTCTCCGTATCTTATAATTTTGGAAAAGTCACTATTCTATTTAAAAAAGTAGAGAATTTTCTTTCTAAAATGGAATTTACATTCCCTCTCTATAAAAGGTGTTCTTTCCCTTGTAAAAAACGTGGGTTTTTTGTTTTTAAGAGTATTAAGTCCATTGATTCAAATATTTCTCTCATTGAACGAATCTTTATCTCTCAAAACTTACTCTCTACCCCCATTTTCTTTTCATCTCTACACTTAACGTTTTTCAATATTTAAAGCGAAAAGAATTTTTTTACAATTACTTTTGAAAAACAGTTCTGTGTTCTAATCGATCTTCTAATCTGATAAAACTGTTTTTCCTGTGCTTATATGGGCGTATCTTTCTATCTATTTAGATTGTGTAATCTATAGTAGACAGGCTCTCTATTTGTTAAACTTTTGTGTGTAATAGCTTAGGTTAAAAGCTATTGAGATAGAGGTTATCAAGCCAGATTCTAATGTCTTGATTTGAGTTTCTGTTCTCTGCAAAAACGGTTGAGGTTGACTAGAACCTTTGGAAAATCTAGTGGGACAAAGGGTAGATCTCTAGTGGGGACAAAGGGTAGATCTATGGTGGTTTGAATTCTATTGTCTTGTATTGTTGGTTTTGGTTCCTCTTAATCCTTAAAAAGAAGTAACATAGTTGGATGATCTCAATATGGAGGTCTTGGGGAGTGGATGTAGGCGAGTTAGTGCCGAACCAGCTATAAATCGCATGTTGTTTATTCTTTTTTTTATTTTTTCTGAAGTTCTGCTTGATACCATTTTATTTACACTTCCGTAATCTTTTAGAAATCTTAAGTATTTAAGTGGATGTAGGCGAGTTAGTGCCGAACCACTATAAATCGCTGTGTTATTCTTTTTATTTTCTGAAGTTCTGCTTGATACCATTTTATTTACACTTCCGTTAATCTTTTAGAAATGCTAAGTTGTTAATTGTTTTATTGTTAATAAGCTTTATCTTTATTGAACATTAGAACTCTAGACTTCTACATTATAAATATATCAAATTCTAATCTGTTCTTCTATATTCAGTATATTTCACAATTTGGATTTCTAATCAATTTTCTAAGTTTGTTTAAAGATATTGTGAAGCAGTTCTAATCAATAGCTGCTCTTTACACAGTCTTTTTATTTTCTGCATAGAGCTTTGTGAGGAAGTTATAATCTTAATAACTTACTCTCACAAATGCATTCTATTTCCGCTGCAACAGAACTCTGATTTTGTTTTTGAAAAGTAAATTTTTATTTTTAGAAAACCCAATCCACCCCCCCCCTCTTGAGTTGTGTCATACGTATACGAGACCCACAGAATCTAGAATCAAAAAAAATTGAGAAAGATTCAATTCTATCTCAAGAAATCTCCAAACCAGGAATTTTGGAAGAAGCTGAAAACCCAAGTTCCCAATTGCTAATGAAGATTTGATGATTCAGAACATGATTCATCGATCTTGAAAACCAAGCCTATAGTCGAAATTTGTGAAAGAAATAGCTTTGCAAAATCAGAACTTGTCACTTATGATGAAGCTTCACAATTTGAAGAATGGCAGCATGCTATGAAAGATGAGATCTTTATGATTGAGAAAAATCAGACTGGGAATCTCACCTCCAAACCCAAAGGTAAAAATGTGATTGGCGTTAAATGGGTTTATAGAACAAAATTAAATCCTAATGGTTTTATATTCAAGCACAAAGCAAGATTGTTGGTAAAGGGTTATTCTTAATATGGAGATACTTTTGCTCTAGTGGCTAGACATGACACAATCTTATTACTCTCAGCAATTATAGCTCAACATGGCTGGAAAGTGTTTCATCTTGATGTTAATCAGCTTTTCTAAATGATTTACTTCATGAGGAGATTTATGTTCATCAAAGGGTTCTTGGTTAAAGGACAAGAAGAAAAATTCTACAAATTTAAGAAAGCACTCTATGGCTTAAAGCAGGCTCCTAAAGCTTGGTATAGCAAAATTGACAATTATCTACTACGTCAAGGTTTTAGGAAGAGTGAAAATGAAGCTACACTTTATGTGAAAGTTTGTTCAAATGAAAATCTTGGTTGTCTCTTTGTATGTGGATTATCTTCTTGTTAAGGGAAGTGATTTAGACTTGCTGTGGCTATTCAAGTCAGATATGGAGCAAGAATATGAGATTTAGATTTAGGCTTGATGAATTATTTTTTGGGAATGATGGTTCATCAATGCAAGGCTGGTATCTTCATTTCTCAATAAAAATAGGCTTTCAATGTTTTAAAAAAAATTCCAAGTCTTTAGCTATTCTATTATCCTCAAATGAAAAATTATCTAAAGATGATGGTGGAAAACCTGCTAATGCATCTCTTTATAAAAGTCTAATTGGTAGCTTGCTTTATTTGACTGCTACATGGCCTGACTTACTGTCTTCAGCAAGTTTACTTTCAAGATTTATGAATTCTCCTAGTGAATTTCATATGGCAGCAGCAAAGAAAGTCTTGAAATACATTAAGGGTACAATTGATCTTGGTGTTTGGTATTTGAAAATGTCAAATTTAAAGCGTGAAGGGTATGTTGACAATGATTGGGCCAGTTGTTTGGACGATATGAGGAGCACATTAGGTTGATTGTTCTCTGTTGGCTCCAATCCTTGTTGCTAGAATTCAAAGAAGCAAGAAGTAGTTGCTCAATCCATAGCAAAAGCTGAGTATGTTGCAGATGCTACGTGGCCAGGTTCCAGAACTGACGGTTTCGATTCCAAATTTTTTAGAACTGGAACTGAATCGAAAATTAACTGTTCCGGTTACAGTTTGAAACTGAATGATTCCGGTTTTTTAACGGTTCCAAAATTGAAGGTTCTGGCCGGTTCTCCGATCGGTTCCGACCGATTCTGAACGGTTTGGAACGGTTCCGACCGATTCCAGACGGTTCCAACCGAAACTGGAATTGTCGGTTCCGACTGGTTTTGGAAACTGTCGGTTCACGGTTCCATAACTAGTGGAACTGAAATCGAACCGATTCGGAACTGACGGTTCTAGTTCCGAAAATCGAATTTTGGCCATCCCTAGCTACGGCAACAAATCAAGCTTTATGGCTTAGAAAAATTTTACAAGATTTGATGATGGAGCAAATGGAGCCAACTATCATATATTGTGATAACAAATCGGCCATAGCCATATCTCATAATCCAACTCAACATGGGAGAACAAAGCACACCAAAGTTAAATATCATTCCACTAGAGAAACCGAAAGAAATCAAGAAATCAAGCTAAATCAAGAAATCAAGCTTGTTCATTGCAATTCTAAAATTCAATTAGCAGATATCTTGACAAAAGCCTTGCCCATGCCAAGATTTGAAGACTTGAGATGCAAACTCAAGGTGTCCAAGAAAAATATCAAGGAGTGTTAGACCTACTGAGATTGACCTTGGAAATCTAATAATTATCTTTTGATATATTGCTTGTAGTTTTGTGTTTACTTATATATTAGTTTAACCAGTTCTTAACTTGTTTTAGATGGTAAATCATTACTTGTAAGTTTAGTCTTGTAAGAGTATCGTCGTGTTAGGAGTTTGTAAAACTCAATCATGTAATTTTGTATTATTCAGCTATTATATAAAGCTGAATTCTAAATGAAATATGTAGAGATTTCTCCTCTCATCTTTCTAAAAAATTATATCTTTCTATCTTATTGTTTGCTCCGCCTTGCCTTCCGCAGTTTCGCTACCTTGAAAACCCATTTTCCTTCCACAATTTCAAGGCATCATCCGGTGCCCTTTCTCTTGCTTTAGGGACTTTTGCTTATTTTGATTGCAACAGAAGCAGTAGGATCTGGATAAGATTATGTTGACTGCATATAAGATTATGATTAATGAATAAGGTGTTGTAGAATAAGGGATGTAGCTACTTTGTCACATTCTCATTAAACCTTTCATGTTGAATATTAAATAACATGTGCATATTATAAATGTCGAAAGCATTTGATTTCTAATTCTTACTCCTTACGACCACAATGTTGAAGCCATTTGATTTATAGTCTGAGGCAAAATAAAGAAATCTAGGATTACCAAAATCCAAACAATTCTCTGCAATACTGTCCTCTGAATATAGACAAAAAGTTAAATAAATAACATGTGCATATTATAAATGAATAAACAAATAAACAAGGAGTGGATTCAAATAAACCAAATCTGTGCATGCAATCAATGTTAGTAAGTTAAACAAGAATAATTAGTAAAAGATTTGAACCTAAACCCATTAATCACAAAAAGCAAGTTCCTCAAAAGGTTAGGTGTCCTGCACTACAAATGAAAATAAATTAGTTACTTTATTTGGTAAATGAAATATGGGTTAGGCAAATCTAAAAATAATGGAAACAAGTTAGCCACTTTATCGGTATTATTTTTAAAATTAGATTAGTGACTCTGTAATATCCTAAACCTAGCAAAATATTGTTCGCTTTGGGTCCAATCCGCACGGATTTATTCCTGATAATGACTATCCATCACCCTCAAAGAGCCCTCTGCTAGTCTAAGACTTGCCCCATCAGTTCTAACCTGTGCTTAGCTGAAGTGGGATTCAACTAAGGTAAGCTAACACCTCATCTGATGCAGATGTTACAAGTGACTTGTTGTTGGCAGCATTTTTATATCTTTCATTTTCTTAATCTCTCATTTTCAAGGCCTAAGGATGTAGATAATTAGACAAAAACTAATACAACTATATTCGATTTTTGATACATATAATCAGAGTCATACATAATCATTTCGCTCTTTTGGCCTTAATTTGACACTGATTAATAGTTAACTAAAAACAGACAATAAAATATATACAGTTACACAGTTTCCATGAAAATTGAAACCTACACTCATTCACATTTTGACAAACAAAAAGCACAAGTTCGAATTTTGACAAACACGTTTCACTTTGCCATCTATTAAGATAAGAATATGGTCCCTAATACCAAACTTTGAAGATTTTGGTGCATGTAGAATTGAGAAAATTTCCAATTTCGAGTTTGGAGACATTTTCTTCTTAAATTTTAAGTAATAAAAACTATTATAATATGCAGTAAGTTTCAGAACCATAAATCATAGATATAAACAATTTGGAGTTCTTTGGAATAATAAATCTAAACAAATGGAGAGATTTCAGAAGTTGGAGTTCAATTATTTAGGGAAAACTAGCTGAAAAATCAAAATCTCAAATCACATTTGTAATACATTAAACCATTATTCAGACCTGTCATTTTTATATTTTGTTCAAAAATGCAAACATAGAAAGATAAATGGAGAGACTTAGAAGTTGGAGAGCATATTTAAACAATAAACAAAACAAAGAGAAAAAAGTTAGAAACTAAAAGGAAAGAGCAGTCACAGTACCTGCAACTTCAGTTAAGAGGAAGAAATCGATGGAGGTGTAATCGGCAACCTAATCCCTGAACCAACTCATCGCGTTAGACGATGGAAATGGAAGTATAATCGGCAGTGGGATACTTGAGTTTGGGCTCTACCTACATCACAACTATAGGAAACGGGAGAAGATAGAGAACTAATAGAAAGAAGAAGGAATATGTTAAGCGACTGAAATCCCTAATTTTAATAATTTTAATAACTTAGATGACCGATTGAATTTCAGTTGATTTTATTAGCAAATACCCATAGAGACCATTTAGTCGGTAATTCATCATTTTCTTGTTGCATTAAAACCGGAGAAGATGAATACATCCAAGACCTATATATTCAAAGAGGATGATGATTCTTTCTTATTTTCTAATTCATTATTACTTCCATGTGCAATATACACTGAATTATTAATAAACTATAAGCCTATGCGAGTTTGTGATCTACATTCTTACAATGACCATATCACCTAATTCTCTTACCATTATATGGTAATTCACCTTTACTACCCTTGGTCTTTACACTTTGTGGGCATGAATAATTACTCTTGTAGAAACTCTAGGTTAACTTCATAATTCACCATTACCTTTTGGTTAATCCAGAGTTCTTCAACTGCACTAGTTAATTTTTCTAAATCACCTTTTGCACTTTGATATCCTTAATCTATCTTAACTTATTTCGATACATATTTAGAGCACCACATCTAATAAATGAAGTAATAGTTGAACTATCTTATGATATGGATGTCATTATATGAGAGTAGGCCTTTGCTTCCTTATTTTATCGCTCGAGTATCAAAGTGGAGGGAATTGTCACTAAGTGTTCAGATTTCATTACTCAAAAACGGTGACAACAAGAAATACCAGTAGTCTTCCATAATTAATAGAAACCTGTAAGCTTCATATTTTAATTGCTTACATAGCTTAAAAATAAAGCTCTAGTATATATACTAGCAAAACTGAAACTATGTTATTACCACCACAATCTAATTTCAATTCTTTATTTCTCATTCTTCGAGGCCTCGTTCCTATTGTTGCACAAACTCATGATTTCAAAGGACTTTGTAAGAGACGATTTAAATATGCACTCATACCTTCACAATGTTGTGTGCTTTTCATCCCAGCTAAAAATTTGGCGACCAAAAAGTAATTCAAAATCTTAGAAACTCACTCGCGATTTATAACTCAAGATCTTCAACCATAATTTAATATTATGTGATATCATAAAATGGGCCCATAATGATGTTAATATGAATTATTTATTGAAATGAGATGGGCCTCGTGAACCCAAATTAAAACGATGTGATGATTATAATGGGCTTGAGGCAAATTATGTGAATAGGAATATGCATAATGTGAGATGAATATGCATGAGACGTTTCAAGCTTACTACGGACTTTGACGACCTTAAACCTACCCAAATGCTAGTGCCAATCCAGTTCAAGGTGACAGTCGTGACAAAGATGATATAAAAGCAAAAGTTAGGCCTTAAGAGTCAATTCTGGAACTTCGGAACACCCATTTGAGACTCCTATGTTGGGATCGGCCGTAACCAACATAGGAGGCATCTTCCAAATTGAACCCTATTGTAGTGCAGATGGACACATCATGCACTAAAATGGAAGGGGAAGGAAATCTGTAAACGTTTAAAAAGAGAACCAGAACAATGTGCTATAAAATCAGCAACATATAGTTAGCTACAGGAACGCCTAGGTTAATTGGCAGTCATGAAAAATTTATTTAAGTTCGTTAAATTTTCTTAACCCGATTTGAAGCAAAGAATCAATTGGGAATTGGTGTAGTGGCCTGATCATCTAGTACACCTTTACATCATTAAGTAAGTTTTGCTTTATCATTAACAAAAGAGTCCCATCACATCGCCAAAGCGAAATTCAAGAAAGCAAGTTTATGTATAAGAGTAAGAAGTGGAGTTAAATACAGCCCTTCAAAAGGCGGGGTATGACCCAAATATCACTCTGCTTACCATCCTTATCCTAGTTGGAACCGTTACAGGTAGAGACTGAATATGAAATTTAGGAGGGTATGAGAGGCACAGGTCCTACAACTTTAAACATCAGCTTTTGATAATTTAAACTACAAGCTATGTAAAATAAGAAATTCCTGTTGCTAATTGGTTAGGGTAAGCTCCTGAAAATGCAGAATCAAACAGAGTAGCTAATCCTAGTGACCACCACCACCCTGTACAACCTCTGTTTGTCCGTTCTTTTGTGTATCGTTGCTCAATTGTTGGTCATTCCTACCAGCCTTACATTCTTCATGCCCAGGAAATTCCCCTAGTCTCTCCTGCAGTTAACAACCAAAATTATGTCATAATAGCAATAATACTTTAAACTATATTTTGGACCAATCTCATAACAATGTTGGAATAAGTTTAATGGCCGAAAGACTTCTTGCTTTGTCTTGATGTCATGACTCATGAAACTCATCATAAATCAAATGCCAAAATGGAGTGCAAACTAGAAATAAACAATAACATTTTCCATTGCAAGGTATTCTTTGTTGTCCATGGATCATATTCATAGTGGCCAGATAATCATGAACTCATCAAATTTAAAAGACCCAAGGAGGAACAGAACATCACCTTGAGAGATGCATTTTCTGCAAGAAGTTGCTCATACTCGCTCTTGATCTGATTTACTTCCAATCTCAAATTGGCATTTTCTTCTTTTAAGGCTTCAGCACGTTGGGCCAGCTCATCGCATTCAGCCTGATTCAAAAGCATGCATTGCCGCAATGAAATCAATAACAGACATATATTGGAAAATAGATAGACATCAGATTATGAGTTACACTTCATTACCTGCTTCCGCAACCTAGAACGGCGAGCAGATTCTCTGTTTGACTGCTTCCTCCTCTGTCTCTTTAGCTCCCTTTCATCCTAAAAAAAAAAAAAAAAAAAAAAAAAAAAAAAAAAATTATGATTACACTTCATTACCTGCTTCCGCCAACCTAGAACGGCGGCAGATTCTCTGTTTTGGACTGCTTTCCCTCCTCTGTCTCTTTTAGCTCCCTTTCATCCTATAAAAAAAAAAAAAAAAAAAAAAAAAAAAAAAAAAAAAAAATACTAGTATATTGTCACTGTCGTTGATATAAGTTGCAGCCTACAAGACGTATGATGTGGTTATGTCATGGTCCAATAAATAACTTTTTGGAAAACTACGTGTTTAAAAAAAAAAAAAAAAAAAAAAAAAAAAAAAAAACTAGTATATGATCACTGTCGTATGATATAAGTGCAGCCTACAAGACGCTATGATGTGGTATGGTATGTCCAATGAAAATAACTTTTTGGAAACTACGGTTGCAGTAAATGAAAGTAAAGAAAATTAAAGATTGGAAGATAAAATGATAATCCTCCTGATTATATTCATAAACCAAAGAAAATAAACCTATAAGCCTCTTGATAAACCTTTCAAGAAAACCTCGCATTTTCTGGGATCAGAATTGCATCACACAACTCAGAAAACATTATAACAGGATTTTATTCACTGGGTGAACTGAATAATAAAAATAAAAATAAAAAAAATGCAAGTGTAGGTATTTATAGAATCAAAAGCAATCTTAAGCCTCTAAGGTCACGTTTAGTTAGAATTGGAATGGAATACAATTCTTGAAATAGGATTCCAATTTTTGTTTTGAATCATGAAAAATTCGAAATGTTTCTTGATATTTTTGCAATTTAATAACTTCAATTTATATTTGAATTTACATTTACTTTCCAAGTATAATTCTTAACACAACCAACTACCTTGGAATAAGTTTTCTGGATTTAGACATCCCTTTTTATTCCTATTCCATTCCAAGATGACCCAACCATTTAACTTGCCAAGTACTTTACTCTTAATCCTGAATCCTTTACAGGAAAGAACTCCAAATGCAAAACTAAAACTAGAAGACTTCTTCAAATCACCATGTATAGACCCAGCAACAGGGTTTTGAACAACAGCATCAGTAATGGACATAGTGCCATTATATCAAACCATATCTGAAAGCATGGAATCATATTGGGGAGCAATACATTTTTAGAGTTCATAATACAACTTAAATCAATATTAAAACAAGTTAAGTAAATACAATGTGCTATTATTAGCTAAAAGGGAAATGACGAGTAAAAAATGTGTATTATATCTATCTATAAAATTAGTAAACAAAATAAATATGAAAATAAAAAATTATGAAAAAGCATTTGGGAAAACTTAAATACTCTCAAATTAACCAAATTCGTAAGAAATAAAAGTTTAGTAGTTTTATTTCCAAAATCTCTACAAATTCTAAATTGAGGAAACCCTTTTTTTTTTTCTAAACTTCAAGTTATCCACATTCCAGATTATCCATAATTTATTGGTGACGCACAGTGTGTACCACCTTGTATTGCTACATATCAGATGCATCACAATGATATCTCTGTTATGCCCAAAGCAGCCATGATCTAGCAATTGCAAAACTGTATTGCCAAATCCAGTATCACCAGCCTCATGATGATTAAGCTAATATGGAAAGGAACAATTGCCACTCGTTTACCTACTCATCATTACCACCCAACTGGTCCAAGAAAATTGTAACATTAGTAATTTCTCTTACTTCTTATTAAGATTACCCAATTACTATATTGTAAGGATTAAACCAAACAAACCTGTTAATCTAATTTCTCAAATGGACTTCTTTCATTTTTGTATTATTCTCCCCCAGTAGGAGAAAACTAGACATCAAGTTTTGAAGTGTTGTTACAATTTCTCCAGTTCCATTCTTAGATTGGAAAACCATTTTCTGCACATGTCATTTTAGTTGAAGGTAACAATTACAATGCTTGAAAAGTCACTTCAAATGTTGATTTTATTTGGAACAATAAAATTAATTCCTTGGCAATCATCTAACAACAACTCAAACTTAACTTGCTTGACATCTTACTTAGCAACACTCCAATCTATTTTTTGCAGAGGTTTATTTATTTATTTTTTATGTTGACTTTTTGGACCTGACTGCGAGAGAGTTCTTTAAATCGTAAAAGGCTTAACTACAAAAGAATGTTTCAACTTTAGTTTTTATAACTCTACCACATACTTCTAATTTTGGCAATTTCATGTAGCACCCTTTAAAATTTTTAAAATTCCATCTCCGATCCAATTTTTCAGGTGAAATTATGTCAGGATTTGCTGATATGGCACATTTGAATTTGCTCAAATCAATATATAAAGAATACACACACACACACACACACACACACAAAAGTTTGGACATGGTAACAAAAATCAATGAAGTAACAAAAATCAGGATTTGCTGATATGGCACATTGGAATTTGCTCAAATCAATATATAAAAGAATACACACACACACACACACACACACACACACACACAAGTTTGGACATGGTAACAAAAATCAATAAAGTAAGAAATTTGGAACTGCAATGTCAACAAATTTTTCTAATTTCGCCCAGTGATAAAATTGCAAAAATTGAAAGTTGTAGTATAAAATTGCCAAAATTAAGAGTTTGTGATGAAATTACAGAGAATTTTTAATTGAAGTATTATTTTTTGCCCTTAAGCCTTCATAAGATAAGCTTTTCTTTCAATTCCTTACTCACGGGCCTAACCATTAAAATGACCTGGGGCATTTTAGTGGGTTTTCCCTCTATCAATACAAACTTCTTCGTCCCTTTCTTTTAACCTATGGGACCAAATTTCTATTCTGCAACACTTATTCTCATATTGGCAACTGTTTTTGAAAGTTCAGTAGTTTGAAAATTTTCTTTCACCAAAGTGCCAATCAACTCAACAGAAATGAGGGCAACATTATTTTAGAGGAACCATATTCATGCCAGTTAAATTGTAGCAAGTTGAGAAAAATCTCAACTAGCATGACAATTAATTCAGGATCTGAAATGAATCATTAAAATTTACAAACAATATTTCTTTTAACTTTCTAGTAATAGCATTGTCAACACGTAATTCTTTGCTTTCAAGTTTAACCTTCTCTTCCCAAAGAAATTACAAAACTTTTTTGTCATTTCAATATTGTTGCATTCCCTCCGATCGCCAACTTCTAGCTTTTGTTAGCTTATCTGACTTATTTGCCTCCATCTGTATTCTAGGCTGTCATTATATTTTTAGATTTTTTTTCCCATTCCATAGGATTCTCCAAAAGTCGCTCTAGTTTTTTCTCCTAGTGCAGTTACTTTCATGAACTTAGAACCAATTTTTTATAATTGCATAATATTTTTAGCTTCTTTTCCACTTTCAATCTTTTCAATAGAAACTTCAAATTCTTTTTCAAAGGGTCGAGCATGTATAATTCTTCAAAACAACATTCTTGCACTAGCATTTCCAAGGCGAGAGGGTGTACATTTGAAAAACAATATGGAATTGCAGCGAAATTATGAAGAGAGGTTTCTAACAAAAGATGAGAATCTTAGACGCAAATGAAAGTTTTAGTGCATTGTACCACAAGTCACCAATCATTGCAAGCGTTAACATATTACATACCCTTTACCAATTTCACAACATAAATATATCATGGCAGATGAAGTCTAAAAGACACCAAAAAAGTACAAAAGCTGAAACATGAAAAGAAAGACACCAAAAACTATTTTTTCGCAAAGTCACATATCAATAGAAAACGGCAATAAACATGGTTATGTACTGCAATAACATCATAGACATCAATTGAGCGGGACAAAAACATCTAACAAAATCAAAGGCTCAATTTCTACGTTACAGCTTCCCAAATGCTTGTTATTTTTAATCAACTGTCCATAAGAAGGTGCTTTCCAATTGTTCAAAATGAAATTCAAATTCTTAAAATGACAAAATCTGAAATTGCTTCATGACCATGTTGTTTCGATTATCGATCAGCACAACACAACCTGAAATCTAGTTATTCAAGGTTGGCAATCCAAAAAACTGATTTAAGCACTAGGTTGGTGATCATAACACAACACAAGATAGTCTATATAAACATGAATATACCATGCTATGGAGTAAGGACTGAGAAAAGTTGACAAAAACTTAGTTGACTAACCCTCCCCTCCCCACCCCACCCCACCCTCAAAAAATAAAAAAAAATAAAAAAAAAAAAAATAACCCTCCCCTACCCACCCCACCCCACCCTCAAAAAATAAAAAAAAATAAAAAAAAAAAAAAAAGGACAAGAAAGTTGAAGCCTTATGCTCACAAAAAAAAAAAAAAAAAAAAAAAAAGGAAAGAAAGTTGAAAGCCTTATGCTCACAGAAGATCTATTTTTTTAAACTCCAATTCAAAAACAACTGATTTATCTTTCCCATCAAAATCCCAAACAGCAAGGACATGTTATTGCATGGTTAATTAGCACAATCACGTTTAAGCAAGTTCAGGAGCATAAAATTTATAAAAGATGGTGGAAAACAATGAAAAAGAAAAAATCATGAACATAGATTAACCTGCAGCCAAATCTGCGATTGAACAGTATCTCGAGATCCGGTAGTAACTATCCCTCCAGCAACTGGAGTAGAAGGAACCTTCCCGCGGATTGCAGGGATAGTAGATGAAGGTGGGGCTCCCCAATACTCCATTCCAATATTTAAGTTGGTTGTGGGACCGGGTATAGCTCCTGGAGCACCAGTAGCAGGTATTGGCATGATAGACATAGTCTGATTCATGATTGTATTAGGTGCACCTTGTCCTACATTCTGAGGACCATGCACAGACCCACCATTCTGAGATGCATCACCTGTAATATAGAAGAAATAGAAATTCTTCAATAATAAACAAGAAAAACCAATTAACTCAGGGTAAAAGAAAAGTATAACAATTTAACCTTCTAGAGAATCTTGCCTCCCGCCTGACTTCATTTGTGAGTCCTAGAAAGATCAAGGAAATCAGAACATATGAAAATATTATCATCAGTAAAAATAAGAAAATGAAATAAGAAAAAAGTGCCTCGTACCCATAACTAAAAACTTGTCCCCATATGATGCTGAAAGGCAAAAAATTTACTTGGGATAAGTAGCATGCTATCTCTGATATATGCCTAGATCTGGAAAAATGTTTAAAAAACACTTGACTCTAGGAAAATCGGCAAAGTCCCAGTAGGCTCATGCAACATAAGCCAAGACATCTCTCATGCACACATATCAAATGTATATTAACTATCTTTACAAAAAAAAAAAAAAAAAAAAGAAAATGGTGCACTCTCTCTTGTTTCTACGACTCCAAAGTGATCTCTATCTCTCTCCCTCTCTCGCTCTCTCTTTCCCCAAAGTGATCTTTCTTTCACTCTTAAGAAAAAAAAATGTTATTAAGTACAAAGAATGAGGTTAATAACTTGGAGAATACGGTAACCTCCTAAAATCAAAGAAGAAATAAAGAAACAAAAAATTGCAGAGAACTCCCTCTTATCATATTGAATAGTGCTTAAACACTCTCATCTAAAAGCCAAAGGGACTATCTTATTCAAAAACAAGGAAGCCACTTTGTTGAAAATTAGTACTTCAATAGTCTCCACTGGAAAGACAACCCCCAAATCCTCCAAAGGGCACATAGAGTTTCTACAATAGCATTTCATTCAATTGAAAAAAGAAAAAGTGGGAGCTTCACATTTCAGCAATGACATTAGTTAATGGCAAAAACAAACTTCCTACTCTTGAACAATTGCCACATCATCCTGCTACATGTGAATCACACAGTCACTAAAATTCCTTTCAATCCAAAACCTACAAAGTACAAACTAGCTCTACTAAAAAACAAAGAAATGTCAAAAAGCTACAGAAGTGACTCCTAAGACACCACAGATTTAGAACCCGTTATCTCTTTTTCTTCTTTGACAGTTAATATTATCGTTTTCCCTTCTAGCCTTTGAGATCTCAGTTGTGAAATAAGTGCCTACCACTGTGGAAGCACATCAAGTCCTAACAATTTGCCAATACATTAAGGGTGTTCAGTAACTCTGCTGTTTCTTTGTTTTTAGCCTTCAAAGAACTGCCAACCATTTAAAACATTAGATTTTGTTTTCTTAAAGAACAATTTTCTAATCTTTCTTGTTCCTTTTACTTGTGTTCAATCAAAACCCTTCATATCTTTTTTTTCCTTCCATATCCTTTTCATCCCCTCTTTTCTCCTGAACAATGCTATTATCATCAATCACCACTGCCCACCATGAAAGTAAACCATGGACCAATCTTCTCATATTTTGCTGTCTTCTTGAGATCAAGGGACGAATCAAGACATTAGACACACCCATCTTCACCAAAACTAAATTGTCCCTTTTGTAGTTGGTATATGTGATTTTTAGAGAAAGATCAAGAAATTATATAATAAATCTATTCTAGATTAAAAAAGAAGTGAGAGAGAGAGAGAGAGAGGAAAAAAGACAGAGTAGGAAAGAGAGAAAGGGTGATGAGTTTGTGGAAGAGACCTGATTGAAATCCACAATTTGATAACTGATTTAATGGAAGCAGATATTAAGATTACAAGAGAACAATCAATTAAGAGAATTTCTTGGCCTCAAAATCATTGATTTAAGAACAAAGGTAGGAGACAGAAACTACGGCAAGTCTTTTTAAACTTTGGGAGAGAAAAACAAAAAAAAAAAACCATCTGCGATTATAAGTTAAACAAGTTTATGGTTTTCATTATCTCAGTTTTTTGTTCTTTAAATACTTTCAAGAAAACCAGTAAAATAAACTCATTGACTGTGAAATAATTTGGGTTATCTTAAAGACAGAAAAAGGGAAGAAAAAAAAAAAGGAAACTAACACGATACTAAATCATTTTCCAGACTTTCACAAACTCATAAAATTGGAATCTTTTAGAGAACGATAAAGACATAGACCCGTCACTTTATCAACCACCACCAAGAATCCTTTGTTGCAATGGTCAATTGAAAATGATAATTTTGCCACGATAAATAGGAAAACAGACACTCTTGTTGGGTCAAACATTCTTAGAAAGTATTTCAAATCAAAAATAAATAATTTCTACTTGATTCCAATGTTACAACCAAACAACAAAAAAAAAAGTGATTTTCTTAAAAACTATTTTACTTAGAAAAGTTATTTTCACAAAAAAAAAAAAAAAAAAAAAAAAAAAAAAAAAAAAAAAAAAAAAAGGAGAAGAAGAAGAAAAGGAAGCCTAAAAGGATATACTAGTTTGGAAGCAAGATAAAGATGTTCTCTTATGGGAGGTTCTTAATGCCCTTAACCTCTCTTCACATCGATTATTTGAAGGATCAAGAAAAATAGAAAATATCTTCATATTTGAATAAAATTCAAGTAACCCATAAATATATTGCTCTAAACTATCTTTTGCGAAATATATATTTTTTTTTAAACAGAATTTTTTTGATATCTTGAGAACAAAAATGCTAGGAATATAGAAAAGACTTTGGATAAATTGATGGTAGAGTGGTGGATTACTAAGCTGGCAGCTGTCAATAATTTATTGCTTCTGTTATCTAAATAACATGTAAAGGCTAAATGATAATAACTAATTATGGCTTCTGTTATCAGAATATCTCTCATTATTTCCTCCTGTTCTTCCTGTCTCTAATTTTTCTTTATTTTTCCCTTTATTTGTCATATCCTAATCACTCAAGTCAAGTGAGGTCCTAATACCACAGGACTCGATCCTATATTACAGCTTCTCTACATTCTGTTGTTCTTCCTCTCCTCTAGTCCCTCTCCTCTGCCCTCTCCTTGTTTCATACAACTCCATGGTTTCTTCCGAACCCATTCATTCTAAAATCAAAATCAACAATGGATAATGAAGACGTAAGCCATACAAATTGAGAATTGACTCGAGGATATGGAGCAGTAACTTGATGCTTGAAGCTAGGTTTACACAACATTTCACAAAAACACAGAAAATGGATGAATTGCGATCAGCAATCAGTTTTTGGCGTTTTAGAAAAAGCAAAATAAAAAAGAAATTCCTGCCTATTCCACACGCAAGAAATTCTCTCATTTCAAGGATCTGAACCGAAAAACGAATCCAATAGGAATTGAAAACCGTAAATTCATATTGAATCTATCAATTGAAGGTGATAATAGTGATCAAGACTCCACAGTCAACCCAAAACTATTCACTTTGAGATGTTGATGGTAAAATTCCTATGCTAAATTTGTGGAAACTCCTGACGATATTTGATGGTATAACATGGAACAAATATGGTTGATTTTTATAGTTGAAAACACTTTTGACAAATGAGGCATTAGGCAGGTAAGAAAGAAAAATGATAATTAAGCAAAAAGACATACTTATAAGGGCATAGTGATCATGAAATTACGGTGGCAGCTAGTGATTTTGGATATTTTTTTGTCCTTGAGGGAAGTTTGGAATTCCTAAACTTTAGGATGTGGATGCGACAAGGGAACAAAATGCACTTTTCTCTCAAATGGCAAAGTATTTTCCAATAAGATGTTCGCAGAATTGACAAAATTTGTAATCAGTGGCCGAAGTTTGTTCTTGCTTCTTTCTTGATTGTAAATCTAGAGGGCTGTTGGTGTGCAGGACATATCACCATTTTTGTTTTAATGACTACTAGTTCTAGACTAATTAGGATATGCAAGTATATGGCTTGTGGGAAATCATAAGAGCGCACACATAACCATGGCATGGAAATTCAAATTACATTAACAGCTACTTCAAGCACAACAATTCATCCTTGAGGACAAGGTTGTTCTACAAGGAGTAATATTAGGAATGTAAAGCAGGAGCTTATGGTAGACTGTGATGAGATAGCAAAGCGGTAGATTAATGAGCTAGGCAACTGGCAGTGGCAATGTGACTAATCAATTACTTTCTTGTTTAAAAAGCATGTACAAGCTGTATAAGGAACATATTAAATCTTGGGTTATTCCAGAGAAATCTCTCTTGCTATATTTCTCATTCCTCTTCCTGTATCTAATTTTACTTCATTTCTCTTTCTCATCCTCCCAATCACTCAAGTTAGGTTGGTCCTACTAGAAAAGACGTCATTTAATGAAGTATGATGACATAGACAAACATAACTCCAAAGCATAATGCTTTAGAAAGGCCAAACCAAATAGATGAAATTAGACTAGACTTAACCATGATTGGTAAATTTAAGACTAAGTTGGACATAAATTAGTTTCACTTTCCTAATCTTGACATATTGGCACAACTTATTGCTTAATCTTGCACAACATAACTTTTAGCTATGCCCCTTATTGCAGAATATAACATTTTCCTCTTCACATAAGAATAAGTCTTTCATTCACTGCTGCAATATTAAGTTATACCATACATTGTGCTAAATGAGAACGTTAACAGGAAAATAACAAGGCTACATGTAAAAAATATTATCATCACATTAATATACGTGTTTCTTGGTTAGAAAAGATAAAATGATATGAAAAAGAAAGGTTTCATGAGGAGAAAAGATACAACTGACAGAAAAAAGAAGGGGGAAGAGGAGGGGGATAGCCCTTGACTCCTACTGAATTTTTATGCTCAGAAGTCATTGTAACTGTACATTTAGTTGCAAAACCACACCACAAGTATTTTTGAGGAACATAAACTATGTTATTTAATCAAAACAATAAGAAAGTTCATGCAAAAACAACCGCAGCCTCCAGCATAACTAAGGCTCTAAGATGAGTTATAAAAGTTCATAAACCATAAAATCCACCTTTGAAGTGTCTGAAGCAAATAGAATGGAGCCAAAGGTAGTAAATATAATTCAAGATATATAACACAGCTGCATAGCACTTACGTTTTGAGAATTTGCATCACTTCCTTCACTTGTGCCTTCACTTGCACTCTCGGCACTACATATCAAGAATAATTCCAATGTTAATTGATGTATTTGGAAATACCAATAAGTCAATACAATTAGAAAATAAGGAAACATGGATCAGCTTGTCCCCACTGTTTTCGCAGTTTAAATTAATTAAAAAGGATCTCACAAGATTTAGACAGGTGGAAGGAGTCAACTCCTTCAACAAGTAGCATTTCATTACATAACAAATATATTGTAGTTGCAATATACTTCATCTTACTCCTCCATTCTATCTATGCATCCAAAATTCCAACTAAAGGTGGATGAATCAGTAGCTTGGAACACTAAGTTTTGTAACCTTTACGGCCCATGAAATAGTAGGCACAAACTACCACTGAATATTACGATTATCTCACCAACCAAGTATTCCAATCATCTGCAAGTCCAACAACATTACCTTTTCGAATAAACTCCATTAGCAGAAGCTCCGGTTGTTTTACCAAGCTCATTATTCTTCCCTGTAATCATGTTTAAACTGCCTAAACTTCCTTTGGACCTTTTAATGGGTAATTTTTCCTTCACATCAGATGGCTTTCCATCTGCTTCTGTGCTCCCAGGAGTATATCCCTACACCAAACTTATTTTGAGTTAATTTCTAAGTAGGCATTTAGAGAATTCCTGTCAATAGCAATAACCGAAAGACAAATTTGGTTCAGAAAACTTACAGACGCCTCAGCAATACCGTTTGGAGAAGGCATTGCAAAAGGACTAAAAGGATAAGACCCCTATACAAGACAAGAAGGTTAACTTTGAATTAATCCAGAAATTGAACAAAAAGCAGCAACTTTTTTTTTTTTTTTTGGGGGGGGGGGTTTTTTTTTTATTTTTTGGGGGGGGGAGTAAGAAATTAGAGGAAAACATACTGGAGGAATCGACGGATGAGCCATATTGCGCATGGGGATACTGCAACGTATGGATCTGGTGGGGTCCATAGGGGAGGCATAATATGCTGCAACAAAAACTTTAATATTGAGAACTGCAACCAATTTCCACAAGAAAGGTGAAATTACAGAATCTAAAAAAAATAAATAATAAATAAAAAAAAAAAAAAAAAAAAAATTAAATCTTGAAAGATCAGATAAGACCACATGAAACTAAGTAAATCAATCTTATACAATAGATGTTTCAAAAAAAAAAAAAAAAAAAAAAATTAATCTTGAAAGATACAATAAGACCAACACTGAAAATAAGTAAATCATCTTATACAATAGATGTTTTCTTCAATTCAAGGATGGTTTTCTGGCAAGGACATGTGACACACTAGCTAACCAATGAAACTTCAGAAGATGGCCAGGTTAATTCAAGCTATGAATTGCATCTAGCTCAAACCATTTGAAAAAGCTAAAGATTGAGTTTCAATCTCATGTTATGCAAATCAATGTAGAGTCAGACATGCCTGGCAAAGGGTCCAAATTGAATAGGCATTATGCTGCAGCACACATGGAAACGTAGATAAATTTATCTATCAAAGTAACCCTAAACTAGTGAAAGAATGAACTGCAAAGGTTTTTGCAACAAACTATAGTGAGTAATATGATCTTCATTAAAAAAAACATTGAGCTAGGTTTATTAACAATTTCAGTCAGTGAAAAAGTGATGCTGAAGCTCATCGAAAGACACTCACAAATACTTTGGCTGTAAAGAATGTCATTTGGTCGCCAATGCCTTAGTCAAACTCATTCCATTTGAAAATAAAATATTTATAAAGCTTTGTTACATTAATCACTATTCTTTGAGTGTCAAAAATTGGGTATTTAACATCAGCTATAACCATCCAAATTTAGTAACTTTATGGTTTCATGCCTTAGTTTTAATGATAATTGATGCCTAAACCTTAAATTTCAATATGAAGCCGTCAATACCTGGACCCCCCACATATATGGGTGAGCTTGGGGACTTGATGCCAAGAACCCATGAGGAGGTATAGGAGAATATGCCTGTCATAGAAAAACCAGCACATGTAAGAATATCAGTACTACATTAACCCAGAAATTTCTACTTTCTAGAAGATCCTTATTTACACAACCTGAAAACCTGTCCAGTCAGGATTTACTGTGGCAGTGCTGGGGGTCGAAGATGGCTCCTGAAGAACAAAGAATTAAACTTGTTCACTTTGGACAGGTAAACATACATAATTTAAAACGAAAAGTAATAACTTCAACAAACACAGAAATAGACCTGTGCAGTAGTGGCAGCCGGGGTCTTTGCCTCTTTCTCCTTTACTGGTTTATCCATATCACTGCTGCCCATAGTTATATGACCTTCCAATAATTATTCAAACCATCCTACATAATGACCACCATTCACGTTACAATAAGAACTACACACCCATTACACACAGATAATCAACTCAAAGGATACTACAGTGAACTTTCTACGGGGGGCAAAAAAAAAAAAGACCAGCATTACCAAAATTTGCAGCAAATATATCTGCCAATGAATGGCAATTTTTTGTTTTTTTAAATAATTTCCATAGATTGCACAAGCCCTTATGCATAGAAATGAACATTACTTGTATAAACCATAATTCCATGAACCTAATAACTGAGGACCGACACTACGGATTGCAGAAAGGAATATAACAGGCGTCTCAGACATATAGAGACAGAATTACATATAGCCTCGAAAGCATATCAATTAATCCAAAGCAACAAAAATAAAAACATTTATAGAAAACTAGTTAACCAAAATAATTCGGATTTAGCAAGCAAATTAACAGCTAAACACACACAGACAAGCAAATAAAACAAAAGCTTTCAGTTACCACTTGTTAAAACCTCTAATATACCAAAAATCGATCCTGATCCACTGAAAGAGGGAGAAATATCTAAGAAATCGAAAACCAGAAACGCTAATGGAGGATTCAGAGGTCAATTTAGAATAGATTAGAGGAAGAGAATAATTTATGCATTTAAAAAAAGAAAATTAACGTGAAAATTTGAGGAGAGATCAGAAATTAGGGTTTTTTGGTTTATGGGTTAGTTATTGGTGTAGATGTTGGAGGTTCACGATTCACATTCTGTGGGTCGTCGTACGGGAGTCACTGATGCAGAGGAAAAAATTTCATTCCCTCATATGCATGCTTGGAAAATCTCCATTTAGTCCCTAATAATAGGCAAATTGACTATCTTTTGTGATAATCGCATGGTGGCTATTAGTCCAATCGTGTAATTAAATTTTATTGGGAAAGGCCACCTTTTATTATATCATGTAATCTCGTGTTAATTGACTTTATTATAAAAACTAATCATATAGATACGGATCGGGACGTGCGGATTATATATTTTTCTATTTTTAAATTAAATTGAAAATAATTTTTAAAAATTATTATAATTTATATTTATATTGCTTCAATTTAAATAATTTACTTATGCATTCTTTTTATTAAATTATGAAAGATAAAATTATACGTCTTTTTTTAAATTCTCAAATAATATATTAAAATATCAATTAGCACAATTAATTATTGTAAACAAATTATTATAGTTCAATTGATATATTTAGTTAATTATTTAGTTTTTTTCTTTGAAATTCTCATATATTCAAATTAAATGAGGAGTGAGTGTGTTAATCTAACTACATTATTTAATTATTTTTTTATTAACTCCATTAATTATTTTATAGCTCCATTAGTTTTTTTATAGAATAAAAACTATTTAATAAAAACTTAATATTTATTAAATGTAAAAATATATTAATTATAATTAGATTTATTAGTTTGAAACTCCATTATTTATTATAATAAAAAAATAAAATGTCACATCATCACTTTTATATTTTAACATACTGCCACATAAGTATTTAAGCTTTAAAAATTATATATTTCTATAGATAGATAGATATAAATATAGATAGATTAATTAGTTGTAATTCTATGCTTCACAAGCAGGATTTATATATTTTTTTGAATAATTTTTTACTATTAAATTATATTTTTTTTTAGAGAGAATTATGTTGTTATTTTGAAAAGCTTTAACTTCATAATTAAAATAATTAGAAATGCTTCAGGGTAAAATCTTAATTGATAATAATAATAGTTATCAATTTTATATTTTTACTTATCCAAAACTTAACCATCTAAAATATCTTTCTTTTGATTAATAAACTTTGTCAAAAAAAAAAAAAAAACTATTATTTCAAAAACACAAACTAAAAGACTATGTTTTTTTAATAAAAAAAACTCTTATTTTATTTAGAGTACTAAGATCAATATATGAAGTCTCATTGTGGATGCATTAATATAAGATCAATGAATCTATGACTATTTACAACAAAATATAATCATATTGAGTGCAAAAGTGAGAGCTTTTGTTCAGTGCAAAAATCACTTAGTTGCAGAAAGATTCGTAAAAGTTAATTGTTTCGTCATTCCTAGTAACATATTTTGGATAAAAAAAAATATAACAATTATCAGGGGCCAATGAATAATAAAGTTTTATAATATAATTTATATGAGTCAAAAACTGAGTTTGGATAAGTCATAGAATAGTGAACATCCAATTTGATAGAGTACAATGTAATGAAAAACATTATAATTCAATAACAAGGCATTCATCCATTTGAACTGGCATGCCTTGTAATTTATGTGGGTAAAATTACCTGGGTATGTTTGTAGTCTTGCAAATGCGACTGCATGAGGCATCTGTTAAATTTTCTTAATCATGACGTAAACATTAACTAAAATGATTATGATGCATATAAACTTTAGGATCATGAATAAACAACTATGACAAGTAATTAGGTATAAGAGTTAATGTGTACCTGAAGCAAAAGATGTCATAGTTGCTTGAGACCCTTCTTTTGTTAACAAAATTGATTTCTCTCTCCTAAGCCCACTTTATGTTACTGAGAGTTTTTGATATAACTATTTTTTGTAATCCTAATAGGTGGAGAGATGACCAACTTATATGTATCTACAAGTTTAATCTGGTGTATCCATCAAGTAACCAATAAATGGTTGAGATTTAGTTTACTATTAATTGGAATTAAAAACCAAATAGGATTTAGAATAATGGCCAACATATTCGAGCCACGTCCCAACATTCTCCCACTTGGCCCAATATTCCAAAACTTTATTTAATAATATAAACATTAAGTGAACATAAATAAATCTCATAATATCATCATAATTTATATAAATATAATAAACCACATAATGCGAGTTATATAGGTCATACACTATTAAGTCGCATTCTCCCTTCCATAGATACTATAAGCGATATGTAAAATATCATAAAGGTCCACTTAATGTCTTATTAGAGACTCTTATTTCTTGTTTAAAAACAATTAGGTGTACACAATTATAATAAACAAGAAAATATCAAAATAATCCAGAAAACTTTATTGAGCTCAAGAGTGTCAAAATAAATATCATAAAATCAAACGTCTATACAACCAAGACTCATTCTTTGAACATGTTCCATAAATGCCTTTGGTTGTAATCTTTTAGTCAAAGGATCAACAATCATAAGATCTATACTAATATGTTCTATACTCACTCTTTGTTTTTCAAATTCGTCCTTTATGGAAAAATATTTAACTCTATATTTTTGGCTCCTTTAGAAAACTTATCATTATTGGAGAAGAAAACTTCTGCGGAATTATCATAATAAATTTTTAGCGGCTTAGAAATGGTGTTGACAATTTTAAGCCCTAAAATAAAGTTCCACAATCATAATGCATGAATTGTAGCCTCAAAACAAGATATAGATTCTACTTCCACTGTGGATGAAGCAACAGCAGTTTGTTTTACGCTTTTCCATTATATAGCCCCTTCTAATAGGAGAAATAAATAGCCAAACATTAACTTTCTACTATCGATGCATCCAGCAAAATCTGAATCCGAATATTCAATCACTTCTAATGGATAAGATGCTTTATACATGAGCATGAAATCTTTTGTTTCTTGAAGATATCTTAAAATTTTCTTTGCAGCTTCTCAATGGTCAATATCAAGATTTTTTTGAGATCTATCCAGCATTCCAATTATGAGGCTAATCCTAACTATCAACGTTGGTATTGTCAAGATCAATTAGTTCTAACTTGGTTATTTGCCCCAATCTCTAAGCAATTAGCCGCAAGTGATCGGCTCGCCTACAACAAAAGATGGATGGGTAAAATGTCATGCCCCGACTCTAATCACCAGAGGAATTGTCCGCTTTGGCAACGGGGTTGTGCCCCGGCCTAATCCGGCCAACACATACAACCGCCCTCATGATTTTGTCCCGCAGGTGACATGGGAAACTTCCCAGGAGGTCACTCATCCTAGGATTTCCGTTAAGCGAGCACGCTTAACCCTAGAGTTCTTCCAACTCTCTAGCCATTCCACCCGTAAGGGCGAGCACGCTTAACCTAGAGTTTTCCAAACTTCTAGCATTCGACCAAAAGGCGCCTCTAATGATTAAGTTTTCCCTTTTCGATTATAATGAAGTTGATTCATTCCTGTGTCCTCGCAGTTCCTACTACCCTAGCTAAGCTGCCATCCTAAAAAAAAAGGCCCCTTACCACAGGAGCTTCGCTCTTACCGCCTCTACGGATCGATTTGCGGGTCGGGATGTCACAGCCACCAGTTTCGCGTGATTCGTCTCGAAGCATAACATCTATAAGAGGGGGTTTCGGCTTCTGATACCAACTGTCACGCCCCGCCTCTATATTACCAGATAATTGTCGCTTTGCACGGGGTTTATGCCCGGCTAAATCGGCCAACACATACAATCCCGCCTCAACCGGTTTTGTCTCGGCAGGTAAAATGGGCAATCCAGGAGGTCACTCATCTGTAGAATTTCGTCTAAGCGAGCCCGCTTAACCCTGAGTTCTTGCCACCTCTCCAACATTCCCAAAGCGGCCTCTAATTGATTAATTTCTCGCCCCTTTTCGATATATGATTTGATTCATTCTTGTGTCCCGCATTCCACTACCTTAGCTAGCCTGCCATCCTAGAAGCTAGCCAGGAGCTTCGCTCCACTACCCACCCTCTTAGGATCGCTTTGCCGGGTCGGGATGTCACATAAAATTAGAGACTATATTCTTCTCTGGAACACACACACGCAAATCACGCAACTTAGGAAACAAATGAAGCACTTGAAAAAAAGGATCTAAGTCAATCAACTCTTATACCAGCTGAGCCAAACTTATTTTTGATTAGCTGGCTGTCCTTCAGTCTTCCATCACTGAAGATTGTTTAATTAATGATATTTTGAAAGGATTAGGTTCTGAATATTGTTCTTTTACAAGGGCGATTGAAGCCATAAATGCTTCAATCAATTTTGATGAATTGTATGCTCTTTTATTGAGCAAAGAAAATTAGCTGAAAAATGAATCTGATTCTGTGTTGGCTGTTATACCACCAATACTCAAATAGCAACAATGCCTCCTTCCTAAAATAATACATAGGTGCGCAACAAATCAAGGTTCAATAATCACAACCACACCTCCAATGGACCACTTATATGCCTAGGGTGAGCAATCAGGCGGTTCGGTTCCAAACCGAAAAATTAAAAACCAAAATTGTTCTTTAAAGTAACAGATTCAAAAACCAAAATTATTTGGTAACCGAATTTGACCGAACCACAAATTGCCGTTTGGTTCGGTTACCAAATATCTGAATTTTCTTTTGACTCAATTTTTTTAAATGTTAACCAAAATATATAATTTCACATCCAATTTAGAAGCTGCAAATTCCCTAATAAAATAATTTCAATCATTACTTCAAATTAAAATCGACAACCTATAATAATAAATTAACAATAACCTATAATAATAAATTAACAATTCAAATCCATAAGCATTTGGTAAACAATAACAAATTAATAATTTTAAATCCAGAAATTAAATACGTTAATAATTAAAGTCTAGAAAAGACAATAAATTAACAAGTAAACAAGTTCACAAGATAAAACAAAAAGCCAATAATGACTCCAAGCTTGATCATCAAATCACATCCATGTGACATGTCCACAATCCAAAAGTTTATAATTTCATCATTTTCTCCAAACCTAAAAAAAGGATAGAAACATAAATTAATTATTAACTAGAAAAAGAATAATTTAGCACTCATCATATATAATTATGGAGCCTATATACATAATGAAACTATGATCACAA